ATGTGTTTTTGCATTGTCGCGAAGTGAGAACTGAATTAATTGAATGAGAAATACTCAATCGTCTGTGAAAAACTGTTCCTTTTTTGTTTTGTTTGCTTAATTGCTTTTATACATCATTCTAGCTTTATTATAGGATTTGAATAGAACGTGAGGCAACGATTAGATAATTCTTTAAATGATATAAATTTTGTGCATTCTGTGTTGTAATATGAACGAAATATAATACTAATGAACGAAATATAATACTTAAGTGAATCTAGCGCCAGAGTGTCGCTATGGTAAACAAATAGAGTGAATTTTAAAGAATGCATTTATTCTATTGTGGTTTATGCGCTGTCGGCGAAGTTGATTTAATTCAATCCAATAAGTTTAAATGAAATGCAAGAAAAAATGCGTATAATTTAATATTCCGTACAAGGAAGTCATATGGTGTACACATCAGATTTTTATAATAAGGTAACATGCGCTAAACAGTTTTGAATAGAAAGAAACCGCTAACGCGCTATTGGGCTTTCTCAGCTTACGAAATATGTATTTTAAGTTGGTTATTTACATAACAGAAGAACAAAATACAGATTATAAATAGTGCATTTTACTGACAAAACTTTCTTTGAAAAAAATAAAAGTATTGCAAAGAATAAGAGATATAGTTAACTTAACAGCGGCCGATAATCAGTGCTGGTGCATATGTTTTTTTTTGCAGAGAAAAATCATTTTGCTCGTGCTGTCGTATAACAAAAAATATCATAGATATTTTTTTACAGTTGTTAAAATAGTCCTGGACTATCTGTTTTAAGAGAATACCTTCTTGGAAAATTTTCAAATTGAAATTGGCTTGAACTCGCATAACGCATGGGAAAATTATAAAGACACCAAGCCGCTAACTTGTTTGGTTGCTAGCGACAAATCCAGAACAAACATCAACATCCAGTACTCTTATTCACTCTAGTGAACGTAAATATTTGTTTGTATATTAGTAATAGTATTAAAATAAAAATATTTATTCTAATAAAAGCTGTTGTTCAAAATACACCCTTGTAAGGCATTTTCTTTGGTTAAGGGACTTCATGTGAATAATTAATTCTACGTTGAAGCAAGACAATTTCTTAGAACTTAATGCTTCAAACAATTGAATGCTGGGATTCCTAGGGAAAGAAAATATCCTCAAAAAGTATATTCCACAAAAAATATTGAATTATAATCTTATAATGACTTATTAAATAATTAATAATTGTTATAATTATTAAATATAAAGCTTACTTATTTTTTACAAAATGTACAATAATACCCTTTATTTACAAAAATGCCATACTGAACAATTATATTATAAGCTAATAAAATAACAACATTGTATTGTTTCTTTTTAACTATGTGTCATCTTTCCTTTTCAGCTTTCTGTTATAGGATAATGTTTTTAATCCTATTTCAGACAAAGTGTACTGGTGTTTCAAGGACGGGAAGGCAAGAATTTTTAAATTTAGTCAATAAATTTATGATCACCTGAAAAATTCATAAAGAAAAACTATTTCAGGTTAAAATTCAATTTCAGAATATCTTGAACGTATATAAAAAAGTGAAATGCAAATTTGACACTGATATTATCACTGTTTCAGCCCTTAAATAACTCCTAAATGTTTTGTTTATTGCTCTTAAAAACAGATCAGGTGTTTAAAAGTTAATACCATAATTTTTGTATTAAAAAAATCTCGAAATTATTGCTAAAGAAAAAGCAGAAACAAAGGCATTATTATTTATTTATACCTAGGGCAAATTTAATTTCTTTGAGATCGAGAAGATATTTAAAGCAAATGTTTATGCTATATCCTGAAATTACGTAATTTTTTTGTTGCCATAAATCAAATGAAAAAGTCACATTTGAAACCCATCCCTTTTTCAAATCAGCTAGCTATCCAGGTATAATCATGAAAATCTTGTTCCGCTCTTGAAATTAAGATATTCAGTTACCAAATCTTAGCTCGCTGAATAATTAACTTTACTTAAAAGAACATATTTGGTATACATTAAGTATATATTGTTCATTCAAAAAACGAAATCTTTTCAGAAAATAACATCCGTTTTAAAAACTAAGTAAATTTCAGCATTAAATATGTTAAAAGTTTAAAATTTTGAAATCTCCTTAATATTTAACTAGAGTTTCTCTAAAAAGCAAGTTTAAAAGTCACATCAAGTTAAGTTTATTCAAATTTGGCCAGAAATAATAAAACAGATATTTTTCATAGTAATTATTTCAAATATTATGCTAAATATCTTAAATTATAGGTAATATTTAAGTAAAAAGAAATTTAAATAATTATTATCTGCATGTAAATGCATTTCTAATTTATGACAAAAACATGGAAAATCAGAAATAATATCAAATGCAATCGAACTATAAACATTGCTTTTCAAATATTTCAGCAATCTCACAGAAGGAATGAATATTGCACCAGATATTTTTTTAATATGGATTTTATTAATAGCAGTTTAACCAATCTGCATTGAAATTCAGATGATAATCAATGACCCAGCGATTTAGGTTAACTTAGATTAAACATGAAAAATAATAATAAAAGAAGAGCGGGTAAATTTTAAAATCAAGTTATTTCAAAATAAGAGTCTTTTAGGAAAGAAAACCTTTTAAGATAGAATTCGCACCTGTAGCCCTGCGGCATTCGGACGGTCATCAACGGAGAAGCTATTATAGTCATTTGCAACTTGACAACTCGCATCTACAGGTACTAATATTTATGGTAGTAATCCATCTTACTTACAGTCGGAACCCTTGATCTAGTATTCAGGGAGGGGAAAGAAATAACAATAGTAGTAGCTGGCATTTTTCAGAGGTTTAGGGTTATTTTCCCGACATTTTAAGGGAAGCTCGGTCCAAAATTAGTGACAGTTTTAAAGGCATTTGTAGAAAATAACTCGACAGGCTAAGGGTTAATAATTCTTCTGTAACAGAAAGTCGTTAAATACCATTCTTATCATAACAGTTAACGGCGATGTGTAGGAAATATCCGTGGACTCATCAAATTGGAGAGAAAATCATTCACATGTTTCCAAGTCTCTCTTCAGTTGAGATTACATGTGACCAGCAATTGCCTCTATTCTCCTTAAAACAGTGCTGTCTGATAATTGAAGGTCCCGAATCGCATTAATGATTTCACGCTTGTTAGAGAATACGTCAAAGAGGCTTTGGGCACCTGCAAGAAATACTTTCTTCAGCAGCTTACCGTCTTGAAATAGTTTTTTCTTCTTCGCCATCAAGTGAGCAATTTTAAACGAAGCCAATGTTGCACTTTTGGGCTTTGAAAATGGCCTAACAATTACTGATTGTTGCGCTGAAAGCTTCAATTTCAGCTCACATACTTTCTTCCTAATTTCCGAACCCTCCGGGTAGTTCCTTGCAAATGGTTCATGATTCGTCTGAAGGTGACGTTCCACATTATGTTTCTTCGCCAATGCTACAGAAGCACCACACAGCAAACACATGCGCTTTCCTTTCACATCAACAAAGCAATACGTTTCTTCGCAGCTAGAATTGTAATTGCATATCTTCTGCTTTTTGCTGGGCCCACTTGTCGTGCTGCAGGGTAAAAAAAAAACTCAAATCGCGAAGATCCGATGCAGAAGGAGGATGCCGAACAAGACTGGATGCACCATTAACACTGTCACTGCCGAAAGCTTCAAAGAAGATTGGTAAAGAAAGTGGGTCAAAAGTTGCCTTTTGCACCTTGTTAAATAATTAATATAATTGTGTCACACAGTCAAGGGTTGACTCTGACCTAAAGTTCCCTCCACTTTTGTCGCTCTTTGTCAGCCCTTTTTGGTCTGGTGGGCCTTGCTATATCGTGGCCCCAATCTTAAAACTTTATTAACACGCGAGGACGCGCGTCGGGCCTGCTAATCCCGGTCGTTACAAAAACATAATACAGAAATTACTCCTTTCGGTGAAATTTTTGACCTTCTAAGTAGCTGCTTTCAAGGTCATGTACGTGTCATTCACAGGCATTTCCGGAATTTATCTCTCCGTCTTTTTTCAGAAATTGGGTAACCGGGCCTCCCAGGCGCCCATTCGCTTTGCCATTTAGTGAGCATTGTGATTTTAAACAGGACAAAGGCGATAAGAAAGATCAAGCTAAGACCCGCCATCACACCATGTTTCCAAAACCCAAGACAAGGGCAACCAAGTTTCTGACCCCTTCCCGTCGAACCCCCTCTATGTGCAATCCCAAGAAAGACTGCTGCAGGGGGAAAAAAAGAAATTTTTTTACCAAAGCTTGGTGGACGCTTTGCAAGGTCGCCTCGGGCACCTGGGTGTCTGCAGGCCCCGTGCTGAGTACCCCTGCCCTACACGTTTCATTAGTTGCTGTCACCGAATCACAGTCGTACAAAAAGGCTTGAGATTCATAATTAGAATTGAAGGGTGGTGGAGTTGCTCCTGTTTGTTGTTTTTGCCTGTCCAATACCATCAGTTCCACATTCCCTTGTAGCTAGATTTTATCCAAGAGCTAGAAGGATATTCCACGCTCTGTATAAACCATAATTCTTTCTCTGGCAAACTTGCTCAAATTACTGCCATTTTTTTCAAGCAAGGCATAATTAAGCAAAGAAACAGGAGTAAAATACACATGAAACCAAAAATAGCTCTTATTACAGAAACATAATGAAACGGCGAAGAACTGCAACTGTTCTCCCTTTTTATAATGCTTCCTAAGTTGTATTATTGGCATACATGATGTGCATATGTGCTGGAATGCTAATCATGTACATGTCAAATCAAAGTTTATGCATGGATTTCAAGTCTGTTGGATGCTTTCTTCACGATGTTACATTTTGGATGAATAACATGTATTTATTTTAATATATTATCTGTTTGTTTTTATAGGTCTGTTCAGTTTTGTTGCATGCTTTAAAAAAATGGTAATTGCCAAATAATTAGGTAAACATTTGTATTTCTTGAATTTTAATTTTTTAAAGTAAATTATTCTTTCAGAATGTGTATACCAGAATAAGACATATAAATTGGGCTCTAAAATCAACATTGCTGACATATGTCAAATGTGCTGGTGTCGAGGCCGATTCAGTCCACAGATGCAGTGTAGAACAAGAGAATGTCCTCAAACAGAAATTTCTGATGGAGATAATTGTCATCCACTCTATGAAAAAGACAGATGTTGTCCAGTAGGATATAAATGTGGTGTGTATTTGTCTTATTTTATAGTGATCATTTTAGTAATTAATGCCTAATTATACTAAAATAATGTATTTACACATACAGTACAAAGCTCGAAATCCGGAGTCCGCACTTCGGCGATTCTAGATTTGGGATTTTTGGGATATTAGATCATCAGTTTAAATCTAGTAAGATGGCATGTAGAAATTATAAAATTAAAAATATGAAATCGTGATTTATGAAATAATAAAGCAATTATGATCTAAAGCGTATCAAAATTTACAAAATAAAACAGCTTAATATTTATATGTTTACTTTATTAAACATTTCTTTCAATGTAAGTTGCTTAAGTTCCTTCGTTTTTTGTGCTAAAACTTTCTCTTTAATTCTGTAGACACACATAATCTTTTATTGAGTTACATTGTTGAAGTCCTGCAACTGGTGTTTGGAGAATTTCGGCTAATTTGTCAAACGAAATTTTCTCGTTTTCAGTAACTTTTTTGTCACTTTCTTCGGTAGCGGTATTTTCTGGATCTAGAACCAAACTACAGATTTCGCCATTTATTAATTGACCGATGATTGAGAAGCATTGTCATCACAATGAAAAATTTCTTTCATATCTTCATTTATTACCGCTTCTCTACATTTCATTACAAAATCGATTAATTGGAAAATTTCACCTTTGTTTTGCGATATCCGAAAACCTTTAAAATTCGAAGCTTTCATCATCAAATTTGGCTGTCCTTCACTATACATATTTGGCTATGTATCATGTGACTAACGACAAGTTGTTCCGTTAAATTTTATCTTGCTTAATCGCGCACTGAAACAATTAAGCTTGAAATGTATTAGTTTAGTTATTTAAGTTATGTCTATTTCTTGTACATGCTTAAGGCTTATCATAGTTTCTGAATAAATAAATTCCCACATATACTTAAGCCTTATTGATGGCCGGCGCTAGATATCTTACCGCCTGATGCAGTTTCTGTGGGTCCTAAATTGTGCGACCCGGTGCCGCCTTACAAGCCTTGGCGCTGGTTCTAGGTTTATGTGAATAACAAATCAGTTATTCTTAATTCAAATAGCCCCTAAATGTAATCTCTGGATCTGAGTATCCTCAGCAAAATCTATTTTTATCATATTAAAGAAAGTTTTGATAAATTTTTCCTCGTCAACATTTTTTAGCGCATTTCTGTAATCATCGCTAAGCGATAAAAACGCTCATCGTCAACATAAACGTTTACCATACTCCTTTATTATTCAATTACTCACGTTTAGGCATCGCTACATGAGTCATTACTCAAGTTGTCATGTTTTGATAAACATGCGGTGATGAAAGGAAAGTATGATAAATAATAATTCCCCACGTTGGCGTCAGATCAACGATGCATCTATGTGGAATGTTTCGGTTTGATATGTGTGCCAAGCACATACACAGCAACGGAGCCAAATTACTGATGGTACAAATTTATACTAAAATGATTATTTCGTCACTAACAAGGTATTTTATTTAGTGTCGAAGTAAAAGTAAGAATCGGGACTCTCCAGATGTTTTTATTATGCGCGTAGGGAGGAATCAAATGCGCATGCGTAAAGCCTACGAGAAAAACTTTGTTGGTGGTTTTGATGTCCGGATTTCGGACTTTGTACTGTATAATTATGAATTAATTAAACCTTAATACAGATACAATTAATTAAACCTTAATACAGTACAAAGTTCGAGATACAAACTCATCAGAAATTAATTAGACAGTTTTGGATTTGGAATTTTTTCGGTTATTTAATCATCAATTTAAATCTAGTAAGATGACTTGTAGAAATAATAAAATTAAAAATATGAAATAGTTGTTTATAAAATAGTGAAACATTTATGCCCGTAAAAGAATAATAATAATAATAATAATAATAAAAAAACCACCACCCCTCTATATTTATTTGCTTGTTTTGTTAAACATTTCTTGCAATCTAAGTTATTTGCTTTATTTTTGGTTCTAACATTTTGTCTACAGTTCTATAGAAAAACATTATTTCTTGTTCAGTTACAAAGTTCCAGTCTTCAAGTCCTGCATGTGTTATATCAAGAGCTGTCACTCAGCATTTTTTCATTCTCAACAATTTCTCTGACTCTTCACTATCGGTAGCAATATTTTCTGGATTTAGAACCATGCTACTGATTTTGCTGTCTGTTAGCTGATTGATAGATTATATATAACTATATTAGCATTCCATCTGTATCTGTATTATCTATATTGTACTGCATAATATATATATATATATATATGTTATATATTATCTACATTATGTCATATTATTATCTGTATATATTATATCTGTACCTGTCTATATTATTATTATTATCTGTTGAGCTTTCACTGTATCTTAAAAACCTGCCCAGAAAATTTAAAAATACTGGAAAGCTGTATCTATGGTTTAGTTCCAAACCATTTTGTCTGCAATTTAAACAACATATATAGACATAGTGGAAAATTCATTTTTTGAAAACTATTTCTAGTGGCTGCATTTCAGCAATTGCCACTAATAATGCCTCAAACATCAGTTATAGCTTCGTTTTAGCATAATGAGTATTTTGCAATGGAATTACAAGTATAATGTTATGAATGGAGACAAAAATAAAAAAAGAAAAATGTATTAACATATATTTATTAAGCACACGAAAAGAACATGGTAAAGGAACTATAATGACAATGACTGAAACTGTTGCCAGAAAGAAAAAGTAAAAAAAAAAAAAAGAAAGAAAGAAAGAAAGAAACTGTGTTGCCTTAGAGGTTGCAAAAATATAATGGGAAATGTAATTACAAGTATAAAAGTTATTTGTAACACTCCCCCTTGATTATATTTCTCTCAGTCCTACATTGAACCTTTGATTATATACAAGGCTTTCTTTTGCACACTCTTTGTCAACTTCTCTGCTGCATTTGAATTGGAAGGGACATAGGTAAAGTTCAACAACATCTCTTCAACCTTCTGTCTTAAAAAGTGCCGGGATTCAATATGTTTATTATACTCTGAGGTAACATGGTTTCAGCTAAAGAAATGGCATCCTGTTTATCTACAAATATATTTTGTGGAAACTTCAAAAAATGTTCTCCCACAAATCTTTGCAACAAGTTTTGAAACCACAGCACTTTTTTGGCTACATGGCACATTGAGACGTACTCAGCTTCAATGATTGACAAGGCAGTCATGTGTTGCTTCTTATTGTTCCATGAGACAGCTCTCTACCTGCTAGCAATACAGCATAGCCACTAAATGATTGTTGATCTATCTTATCACCAGCTGAATTAGGATCGCAGAACACTTTCAAATCCTTCCCAATCTTTTTGAAAGTCAGTTTTAATTCTTTGGTGTGTTTTAGCTAACAAAGAATATGTTGTATGCCAGCCCGATGTTCCTTGCTTGGACAGTTATTGAACTGGCTCATGTAAGTGGTAGCAAAGGCTAAATCAGGCCTTGTTCTTCCTGCCAGGTACAAAAGTCCTTCTACAGCCTGTCTATATTTTAGTGTTCCTTCATCTAACAGCTGATGTATATTTCATACCTGAGTCTAATGGTGTTGATGCTCCTTAAGCATCTAGCATACCAGTTGTTTCCAAAAGCTCACTAGCATAGACAGTTCGTTCGAGAGTCATTGAGCCATCTTCTCTTCTGCTTATTCAAATTGAAAAAAGGTGGTGTATTTCTCCCAGGTCTTTGATTTTAAATGTGGCTGCAATATTTAAGCAGGCTGCAGTAATATCCAACTGATGAATTTGCCAGTCTTGCCCAAATGAGAATGCCAATAAAGGTCTAATCGACTTTGTTTTTATTACAGGAGAAGAAGTCTGCCTGTAGTCAGTTCCTTCAACTTGAGTGTAGCCACGAATAATTAAACGAGATTTATGTCTTTCCACCTGTCCTTTTCTCTCGAAAAACCTACATGCATTTCACAATTTTCCTTTCTTTTGGCCTAGGCACTATGTTCCAAGTTTCATTTCCTTTTAAAATTTCCAACTCTCGTTTTATGGCTAACCTTAATTTTACTGAATCTGGACTAGTTAATCCCTCTTCCAAAGTTTCAGGATCCTTCTAAAAAAGAAATCTTCTTTCTTGGGTGTTAAGTCTTCACGTTCCTGTTTCTTGAATTGTCAGCTGCGCAGCATTCCACTTGCAATTCCGTTTATTTATGGAAGATTTTCTTAATGAATCTCTGAATTTTCCGCGATACAATTCTTTGTTCACTTGGATGCTGAAATTTATCTTTTAAGTCTCCTGTTCTGGTATATCCTCCACTTCAATTTCTTCCTGTTTGTCGACTTCATCTATTCTTACTTTATTTTTAATATCATCTTTTGGAAATCTTTTGAAGAGGCAGTAGTATAGTATTTCTTGTCATGAAAGGTTTCTCTTCAAGTGTCAGGAACAGATCACTGTACTGGTTTCCTTGATGTACTGTTTCCTTGATGTAAATGTGGTACCTTTTATCTCCAGCATACCCAAGAAGAGCCTTTAGGTGCCTTTTTGTCCATCTTTATGCTCTTCTGAGCTTGAACATGAACATAGCAGGTGATCCAATGATGCACATATCTTTTATTCTAGGTTTCTTTCCCATCCATAATTCAGAAGGACTTGAATCAGGAACTGAAATGACCAGAACTCTCAAATATTCAAATGAAGAAGTGGATTTTCTGGCTTTCCTGTGGGCAGAGTTCATCAGCACTTCAGTTTACATACTGAATAAGATGGAAGACTTCCCATTTTATTCAGTATGTAAACTGAAGTGCTGATGAACTCTGCCCACAGGAAAGCCAGAAAATCCACTTCTTCATATGAATATTTGAGAGTCCTAGTCATTTCAAGAACTGTTCTGTTCTCTTATTCAACACTGCCATTTTGCTCTGGTGTATATGGAGCTGTGAGCCTCTGCAAGATTCCATGCTTGTTCAAGATCTGTCAAACTGCTTTTTTGTCAAAATCTACACCATTGCCACTGAGGATTTCTTTAACTTTAGGCTTTAAGTTCTTAGCATGAGTTGTGAAACTTTCAATCACATCTTTTACTTCTGATTTATGTTTTAAGAAAAAACAGTCTTGAAATTTGGCATAGACATTTTTGAAGATTATGAAATATCATCGATATTTCTTAAATGATTCATCAAATGGCCGACAGATATCTGTCAAGAACAATTCTGCAGCTTTTATAATCTCTTTTCTGTTTGAGCTTTTCCATATACACAGTCTTCATATAATTTTATATCAGACTTAATTTTAATATTCAACTCTTTCTCAAGAATGGCCTTTACATGTTTTTTACATGAACCCATCGTTCATGATAAAGTTGAAGAATTGATTCATTATTCTTGGCCACATTTATATGAGTGTGAGTTTCAGGAACTAAGATCTTCATCATGACTTTGAAGAGACCTCTACCAGCATTTCTTATATCATGCAGAACTATTTTGCCATCTACTTTAAAATAGCAATTCTTAAATATTGATTCAAGCACACTGTTCCAGTTACTATCTTGAGTTGCTAACACTAAAAATAGTTTTTTTTACTTATTTCTGGAGCATACAAGACATCTTCAAGATTTTTTATTTGATTCATCCCATTTACAATGGTCATTATTTTGATAGTGTCCTTTCCAATTGCTGGTAATGACTTTCCATTTGCTACTGTGATGCTATGGAGAAGCTTAAATTTTGCAGAGTCTATAAAGTAGTAACTGTTATTGAAGACTTGTTTTGAGGCCCCCATTGTCAATAAACCAATTACAGTCAAAAGTCGTTAATTTGGACACCCATAATCTAGAATGATCTATAATCCGAACCTCAAAGGTACAAACTTTCTGCGCATGCGTCGAGTCGACGCTTTACCTTACGGCTGCGAAAAGGCGTCTGCATGTGCGCAAAATACGTTTCCGAATGCTCGTTTAATGTATAACGGACGGTATAAGCTAAGCTAAAATTATCTAATTCAGTTAATGTTACAGATTGCGCTGTTCTAATTGGATCCGGCTTATTATTTTTTGCAGACTGTTAGAGCAATTTTATAAAAGTAAGCTTGAACTTTCGATTATGTCAAAAAGAATTTCCGATTCAAGAGCTATCAAAGGATCTACAAAGCAAAAGCATGTTCCGATGTCCATCAAACGAAAAGTGGAATTGCTGCAAAAAATGGATAAAAAGGCATATCCTTTGTTTATCTTTAACGTCGCGGCGCGCAATGAATTGGAAGTTGATCTGTCAGCACTATCCTTATCTTTAGGGCAGATGTTTTTATTTTATTTGGCTTATAATTCATTACTAAATGTATTATTTCATCTCGATGTACTCCGTCTTTGATATGATTTAAATCAAATTCCTCATCATTATAATTCGCTTCTGATAGCGAAGAAAGTGACAGAGGTTATTGAAAACGAAAAAATTTCGATCGACAAATTAGTTGGTGTTCTCGACACAGCAATTATAGGACTTGAACAGCGGAACTTTGTAACTGAGCAAGAAATTATGTCTGTTTAATAGAATTAAAGAGAATGTATTATCACATAAAAAATGAAGCAACTTAAACAACTTACATTGAAAGAAATGTTTAATAAAGTAAACAAATAAATACTAAGCTTTTTTTTTTTTATTGTAAATTTGATACCCTTTAGATCATAATTGTTCTTTATTTCATAAATTACGGTTTCATATTTTTAATTTTATAATTTCTGCATGCTATCTTACCAGATTTAAACTGATGATCTATAATCCGGAAAAATCGATAATCCGGTATCACCGAAGTCCCGACGAGTCTGGATTAATGACTTTTGACTGTATCAGAATTTTTTCAGCAGAAATTATTGCCTCATCTACAGCTAGGACTGTCATATTTGCAGCAACATCATTCTTGCTTTTGTTTTGTCCCTGTATGTAGAATAGGTTTTGGTAGTTTTCTGGCAGCTGTCCACTTCTGGCATGTTCTGACCCAGTGTCTTATCTTGTGGCAATAATTAGAATTGCTGTTTTGTTTGTTTGTTTGTTAGGAGCAGATTTCTGCTTAGATTTTGAATTTGCTATCCACAGTTGTATGGTTAATTCATCTAGCATTCTGTTTTCATCACTAAAAAGTAACCAACTTGATTTGAAAGTACGATAACTGGGAGAAAGTGTATTCAATATTTTACAAATTAACAGCATTTCTGGGAGTCCGCTAATTTCACTGTTCAGTTCATTCCAATAATTTTTCAGTTTTGATAAATGAGCTGCCATATCATTATTTGACAAACAGAATTTGAAGAACTGTAAACATATGAACTGTAAAATTTCTTTTGCACTGTCAAATCTCATTACCTTTTGTAAAGTATCTTCAGTCATGGAGTTTGTAAGAATGATCATAACACATTATTGGCTTTATTAAGAACTTCTACATCATCTCTGTATCTCTTTTGAATTTCTTCAGCAGCGACATGAGCAAGCTCCACTGCCTTTCCCAATTTTTCTTCAGGGACTTCTAAAGCGCCTTTGTGGTAATTTAATATGAACTGAATTTGATATTTCCAAATAGGCCAGTCACTTTTTCCGCATAATTGCTTAACTGATATCTTGCATCCTCCATTTTTGAGAACTAATTTCACGATTTACCTGAAGCTTAAAAAATGTCGTGTTAGGCTTACGAACTGCCGATAACTTTTGTCTCCTCTTTGCTTCTAAATTTTTCCTACGCAGTTACAGCATCCTGGACCCATAACCTGTTAGAGTCAATGTTATGAATAAAGACAAAGAATTAAAAAAAAATCATCTGTATTAACATATATTTATTAATATTTATATATAATTAAGCACACAATAAGAACATGATAAAGGAACTATAGTAACAACACATAAAACCATTGCCAGAAAGAAAAAGTTAAAAAAAAAAAAAGGTGCTACCACACAGGTTGAAAAAATATAATGAGAAACATAATCAAAAATATAAAAGTTATTTGTGATATGGAAAGGACAACATCAACATATTGCAATTACGAAAGCATTAACCATTTATTTCTCGCAAATGTGCCAATCAGTCATTGTTTGTTTTTGGCACATACTCAGATTGGTAATCATTTGTTTCCTGCCAGGGCAGAAACACAGCAAATCCACTTTCTTGCTACAAAAGACAAGTACCAATTAATGCAACAAAATAGTATTGTTATTACTGTAACAAAACTATATAATAAAGTCCAATTTTTCTTAGTTTTGGTACCTTAGTTTTAATTAGACAGAAAATATGAATAAAATTATACTTAATTAGTAGTTTAAATTCTTTAAATCAAATTATTGCTTATTACTCAATTTTTAAATTTGTAAACTTGTTCTTTTTACAGATAATATTTCTTTTTCAGTTGCTGCAACAGATGAAAATGATGAAACTCAAGAAAAAAGTTAGTGCTTTCCATAGCTTCATTATAAAGCTTTGTATTAAAATTTCTAACACTATAGAAAATTTTAATATTTGTTTTTATTTTCAAAAGTGTGAGAAAAATGCCAGCACAATTAAGTAGTAATATGTACTCATTTAGTTAATGTTGTTTGTAATTTAAAATGTTCTTTATAAAACTAAGAGACATATTTTTATGATTGAATTATGCCCCAAGCCAGGGATGATGAACCTTTAAATACTTCAGTTTAATATTAGAATAATGTAAAGTGTCTTAAAGGAGACAGTTTCATTGAAATAAAGAAATAAAATAAAGGTAATTAATGTGAGTTTTTTTGTTATTTTACAGTATGATAAATTAAATGTATCAATATCAAAATATATTAATTGCTTTTATTTTTTTCATTTAAAACAAAATAGTGTCCCCTTTAAGATGCTTCACTTAATGTACTTTTTACTTTTCAAAATACATTCATTTAGTATTATAAACAATAAACACTACATTAAAAAACTATGTAAATTTAATCCTGTTTAGTGTGAAGTCTGTTGCTTAACCTTATTAGCCATGTCATTTTGTGTCTCGTGTTTGGGTCATAATTGTGTAATGTCTCGTATTTGTTTTTATTTTGCTTTATGTTTTCTCGGATGTCTCATAATATCTCATATTTGGGTCATAATTTGTTGTCTTTAATAACAAAAAAAGCACTTTAATCTGGCACAAGGTGGTTTCTTAGTTGATTTTATAGAGTTCATTGATGAAAACACCTTCTTCACAAGCATATGAGACTCAAACATTGTAAGCAGTCCTACTACAAATTTTTTCATGGCCAAAAATTTTTGTGAGACTTGGATTGTTTACAGATTTTGTTTTCTGACTTTTGGATGCAATTTTTGGAATCCATGCACTCTCCATCTAATGCTTCACCAGGTTCGACAAATTTGTTCACCCACATATAATTTTCTTGAAATTCTGCCAATTTTATTTCCAAATTGTCAATACCCAACCACTCAAAAAGTATCACTTGATCATCCATTTTAGTAAAGTAAGGTCTTGAAATAAACTGCAATGTTTTTTCCAAATTCAGAAAATGAGAAAAATCGTGCTGATACTATTTTCTTTGAATTGTCTAAAATATCCAAATAGCTCTTTAATCTATTTTCTCTATCTATAGAAGTCAATCAATTTACGGACAAAACTTGATGTCTTTTAAGTGAAGAGAAATATATAAACTTTTTTGTTTCAATATCTTTAAAGAATACATCAAGTTTGCATGGTGAGGATATTACGATCTCAAACAATATTTTTTTGCAGTTTGTTCTTTTCTTTGCAGTTCCTCATTCACATCATTATATAGTGCGTGAGTAAAGACAAAGATTAAAAAATTGAAAAACATTAAATCACACAGCCAAATAAGATCCATGAGCTCTGGAAATTCTTGCTTTTTTTCTGTTATAAAAAATCGAATTTCATACAAAAGCTTGACAAATCTATGAAAATTTATTCATCACCCAGCTAGCAAATGTTATTTTACATAAGAAGTCTGACATATTGAAATTCTACTTCCTGTAAAACTTTGAGAACTGGCAATTTAAAGCATGTGCAGATATGAAGTTCACAGTTTTAGTTATTACAGGCAGAACATTTTGTTATGACTTCAGATTAGCCTTTAAATATATTGTTGATATATTGATATTGTTGATGCCAAAATGCAATCAAATTGCAGAATGGGGTGTTGACTGTGGCCTTCGAGAAACAAGGCTGTCCAGCTCTCTCGTGACATCACGATGAGGAGTTCAAAGAAACCTCTCTCCTGCATTCGAAGCGAGTGAACCCACAGCACGCTAATTTATCAGTAAAAGCTAATTTTATGTTATACTCATGTAAAGTAAATAGAAGATTATTAAATAAATAATAGTATCTTAACATTTATTATATATCACGCTTTAAGACTTCAGATATTTGAGCGTATTTTTCTTAACGCTTGATAAAACTTTCACCTGGATGATCCGTAATCATTTATATTAGTCTTATTTTATTTTCCATAGTTTGGATGAACTTTCCAACACTTCATAATGTGAAAATGTTAAGCTTTTGAACTGCAAACAAAACATTGCATATTATTTTTCATTCATATGTAAAATGAAAAATATGAATAAAAAGAGCATTTTACAAGAACCAACTTTTTCTTACAAACTTTTTTAAATAATATATAATTTTTTTCATTATGGCGATAAAATAAAAGAATTAGCATTTTCGGTTATTACATTTATTTTTTAAACAAATTTTAGTGTAGAAGATCTTTTGTAATAAACTAAATATAAAAAAGGAATATTTCATCAGTTATTTATCGATATAAATAAATTAAAATTTATTTTTAATGACAATTTTTAATGTCAACATTGTTTTAAACTGTGAGATGGTGTTAAGTCAAATGGTGTTATGTAATTAACTCTGTTATCATTAAAGTAATTATTAAACTTGCAGTGATCCAGATTCTTACAGAATAAAAACCAAAGACCTATTTTTAAACTGTCACAGAAAAGCATTTAACTTTAGTTTTGCCGATTACTGTTTTATTAAATACTTTTTTTATTGCGATATGAGTTCTTACTAATTCTATATTACTTCTTTAGCGAAATCTTGATATGTCCACGTTAGAGTTATGATGAACATAACAGTTAATTTCCTAGCTTTCTAGCGTGTGACTTTTGATTCTTTGGATTACTTATGTGTATCCTTAAGGAATTGTAAAGGGCGAAAAATAATTAATTCTCCGAAAATTTAACAGACATAACATTTTGAAAGGAACACACTGCAGAATTATGCTTTAACTTTTAAAATATGCAAGGTAGTTAGCGGAGGTTCCCACATCTCGTTACCGATGTGGACGGGGTAGAGCCTACATCATATCAGGAAAGTGCAATGATAGTATAGGATACCGAACGTCCCTTGCAAAAGCACTTCATTCTGTCAGTATATTTAATCTTTTTTAATTGTTTATTCTATTGTATTCATTTAAAACACCATATACTCTATAGCTCTTCAAAAGTTTAGCATTTTGCTAATGTATGAAGTTTAATTTAAAAAACATAACAGCAAAATTAAAAAAAAATTCCGAGCAACTTGTGTAACAATATTGTTTTCAATATATATTTAAAAATATAATATTAATTACAATTTTCCCAATAATTTTGAAAATATGACAAAAAAGTTTTAAAAAAGGGTAATGTGAAACACACAAATTTGAATTTTTAAATGAGAAACATTATTACTTTTAAATCTTTAAAACTATAATGACAAGTGCATTAAAAATAAAACTGAAATAAATTAGGTATTACAAATAATTTAATGTTATAGAATTGATATATAATCATAATGCACAGTGTTTCAGCAATACTTGAAACAAAATTTACTATACATTAAATAATCCTCTAGTATTCTAATTAATTTATTGTTTACTTTTACATTTTACACTAGTTTTTGCTTACTTTTTTTTATATTTCACACTAGTTTTTCAGTGGAAATCATATTAGCTTTAAAAACAGACATAATTAAAGGTATCGAATATTTAATCTATGTAAGTTTTCTTTAAATGTCAATAAAATCATAGTAATGAAAGCTGACTCTGCTGTTTTCAGTCGGAATGAAGTCCTTCAGTTTTATTGCACGTATCCACTTTCACATCTGCATCAACAGGAAAAGCGAAAATATGTACTTTAGGTCCAGATTTGTAATTTCAATTACATCGTGGCACTGAACACATGTAAGACATTATATTATTTCAACACATGTAAGACATTATATTATTTCTGGAACAACCCACAAATCGCAAAGAAACTCAAATTTAAAGTGTCCAACTATGAAAAAGCACGATATATACCAAGATTTTAGGTCAATAATTGCAGTTCAACCACTTCTGTCATGTTCATGGTGACTAACAATAACCTTTGACCTAAAGCTGCCCTCGAACCCAAAGAAGGGTTGCATTCTGACTTTTACTGATGTCAGGCGCTCTACGTCACTGAGCTGTAGGGCCTTGTTTTCAAAGGCCACGTATTGAACTTCTTCAGCCAGAAATTTTGCAAACCCATCCATGTATTTATGCCATATTTGGGGCACCATCATTTGTTACAGACACAATTTTCTTCAAGTCAAACCCCATTTTTATTGCAAATTCTTGTTTTATTTCATTCATTATATCTTTAACTGGGGTCATAGTTAGTAAACTCAGCAATGTAGTTAATTCTTCTCTCATTACATTTCTGAAAGCAAATTGATCGAAAATAGGTAACCTTCCTCGTATAATCACACTGGTTCTTCTGTCAAGGCTTACTGAAAATACCTGGATATTAACTAATTCAGACTTCATTTGCTCTGAAGCATATCAACATTATGGAGCTCGAACAACACAGAACTTTTTTTTTTACTCCATAATCCATTGTCCACTGTTATTGAAACTTTTGGCCAATATCCTTGCTAAATTTCTGTCTCCTTCCCTGGAAGCATACTTGGCAGGTTCATGTTCAGAATGACAAGAAATAAATAAAAATAAGACACATATCGCAAAGAATAAGCTATGCACACAAATTAAAATTTTTTAACTCATTTGAACACAAAAACTGTAGCTCAAAAAATATGGCACAGATCTGTATCTGCAAGCAGTTACTTTTCTGCGATTCCTAGCATTGAAACCAAAGTGGGGAGGGTAAACAAATGCTACCCCACTTTGGAATATTCTGGACATGGCGCACTTTCTTTCAAGCAGGATTGCTCAACCCAATATATGAATAAGAGTAATTTATCCCTCTTTTCTTTGTTGTATCACTTATATGTGTATGCATTAAAAAGAAGAAATGAAAGAAAAGAAGTCTATTGAAGTAACCAAATTTCACCATCTTAATAAAAGGTTAATTAAATCTCTGAACTTAATGGGGCAGTCATCATTAGATATTTAATGTAGTTATAAATAGGAAATTAATCTCAACCCTTTCCTTTAAAAAATC